GCATTATTAATAGCAGTTGTTTTTCTTACATATATCAAGTTTGCTGGGGATTTGAACGAATACTTCCTAACCAATTCTTTTTTTGTCTACAGGATCGTTCTCTTGACTTTTATGCATTGTGTGCACTATATGCTGTAACTGGTACTGTTCTACGTACTCTGGCTCTGGTTCCCCGTTTCTTTTGACCATTTTTTGCAAGCAAATAAGTTTTCGACATAACTTTACAGCTAGTATCTGAGAAAATGTACATATAATTTTTCATCTAGTAATATCTTCTTCTGTCCGTTTGTTTTCGTTTTCAATTTGTCCAGATATAGCACTTGTGACATCCCTGAGGGACGGAATGAATCTTGTCAGTTATGAGTTTGTGGCATGCCAGGATGCAAAGAGAGGGGTCCTTATTCTGAGTGAGGTAATAACTAGAAATTTGCGTGCTTTGTTATGTTTGATCTTCACTCAAAGTCTCATATCTGCCAATTTGGTGAACTTATCTTTTGTTTTTATAGCTGTCATGTTACATGGCTTGGATCCGATACATGAAAAGTTTATCTGATTTCAAAAAGCATACAGAATCATCTTTAAAAACAACCTAATATTTGGTCTTTAGTCTGCTTTGACACTTCCTGGTCCTTCTGTAGTTTGCTGGTGCCGCACAGTCTTTAGGTGCTGGAGCAATCCTAGTGAACCCGTGGAACATCACAGAAGTTGCCAATTCAATTGCTCAAGCATTGAATATGCCCTCTGAAGAAAGAGAGAAGCGACATAAGCATAATTTTTTACACGTGACAACCCACACTGCACAGGAATGGGCCGAAACGTTTGTAAGGTATGCATGCTTGAGTGTCATGTGTTTAATTCTTTAAGCACAAAACTATTTCTTTGCTACGTCTAACGATGGTAAACCAACATAAGTTAACATGGTTCTTAGTGATTCGTGGCATACATTTTGTCTTCCTCATCTTAACAGTTTAAGCTTTCGAGGACAATGTAAAACCTGTAAAAATTTGGCAATAACGTGTTTTCTGACTTGAAATTGGAAACATATCTGCATATGCAGTTTCCGATACCTTGACCCTTACAAAAATCCTGAATGGCGTGCTTGTATTTTAAAAGGTAGTATAGATGAATTATGCACTGAGAATTGACATTCATATCACTATTTTTCAGTGAACTGAACGATACTGTTATAGAGGCACAATTACGGACCAGACAGGTGCCACCACCACTTCCAAACCAGGACGCAATTCAAAGTTATTTGCAAGCAAATAATCGATTGATCATACTGGTATGTCATGGGAATGTCCCAGTTAAGAAGTAATGTTCATGTACCTCTATCAAACCTTTTACTATCATAGGTATCTACATGGTATTCAAATTTTAGCGGATTTTCATGGTATTCTTGGTCAAGTATAGGAAGTGTGATGGAATGCTCAGGTTTCGTATTGGTAATCAGATCTACTTGTACACACCAAATTTCGCTCCCCAAATTGTAGGTTTTGGTTATGCAGCATGCCTTTCTTTGCTGAGTAAACTGGCAGGCTGGCAGCATATAAAGTTTTCTTCCATTGAAGTGTTTGACATTTTAAGTAGCCAATAATACATCAAGTCTCTCACCAATTTTAATACAGTGAAGTATTCAGCTATCTCATCGATTGTGAGACTCTTTATTATCTATTCTTCGGAGACCATGAAGAGCTGAATTTTCTTCCTGAGCCCAGTTTGTGTAGGCATCACAGTTAAAACATTGTATGGTTTTAGCATCTGGTTGGCATTTTCTTTCATCCATCTGATCTTTCTGGTGATGGGAACTCAGGGATTCAACGCGACATTGACTGAACCAGTGGACACACCCGAGAGACGAGGTGATCAAATAAAAGAAATGGAACTTAAACTGCACCCCAAATTGAAAGAAACCTTGTCAGCACTCTGCAATGATCCGACAACAACTATTGTCGTCCTCAGTGGGAGTGACAGAAATGTCTTAGATGATGTAATTCATCCATTTCCACATCTAAGTTCTCTTACCACCCTTGTCTTATCCCTTTTTTAATTAAGGTGTTTTTACAGAACTTTGGGGAGCTTGATATGTGGTTGGCAGCTGAAAACGGGATGTTTTTACGCCTTACAAAGGGAGAATGGATGACAACAATGCCTGAACATTTGAATATGGAATGGGTTGACAGCGTGAAGGTGCTCGCGTCTTGAATTCAAGTTATATTCGGTTTAGTTGTATCCTCGTTTCTTCATACTTATAATGCTGATTTTATTTTTTCAGCATGTTTTTGAATATTTCACAGAGAGAACACCACGATCACGTTTTGAACTACGCGAAACTTCCCTTGTGTGGAATTATAAATATGCAGGTATAGCTTGTTTTTTTTTTTTTTTCAAACCATCTAACCAGAAAAAGAAATCGGTTTTGTTGAACCCGATTTCACTTGGACTAAGTTTTTTGATTAAGTGAACTTTTGGTTACTCTAATGCCTACTTTTTTCTGTTTCTTTTTCACCTTATCATAACTGCAGATTTTGATTTTGGAAGACTTCAAGCAAGAGATATGCTGCAGCATCTCTGGACTGGCCCGATTTCTAATGCCTCTCTTGATGTTGTTCAAGGTAGCCGGTCTGTTGAGGTTCGAGCAGTTGGTGTGACAAAGGTGAGACTATGATGCTTTGCCTGTGAAAACAGTTGAAATTATTTTGCTTATATTTTTCGAACAACTGTTTCGTTTCTGAAAATTCTCTTTCAATTCAGGGTGCAGCAATTGACCGTATATTGGGAGAGATAGTTCACAGTAAATCCATGACGTCCCCCATTGATTATGTGCTGTGTATTGGACATTTTCTTGGCAAGGTAACTTTCTTGTTCGACAAGTCATGCGTTTTCTCGTCTCCGAACTCGTTATTTGAGTCATATTCTGAAAGCTTTCTTTCTGATATGAGGAAAACTCAGAATGTGAGGTTAATCCTTCATTGCATGCTATACCATCATGTTAAAGACTCGAAACCCTCGTTTTTCGTTGATTTATGATATTTTTCTGGTATGGGAAAGAGTGTTTATATGCTGTAACTTCCAACTGCGGAAAATGGAGAACATTTGATTCAAGTGTTTGTTCATATTCATTTCAGGATGAAGATGTGTACACCTTTTTCGACCCAGATCTTCCGTCTGGGCCGATTGGTCTTCCAAGAAACAAGATACCCGATGGACTAAAGCCAAATGAGAGAAGATCTTCTTTGAAGGCTCCGGCAATCAAAAGCGGGTCAAAATCATCTCAGAGCAAGGCGCAACGGCTTTTACCAAACTCTGAGAAGAAAAATGCAAATCATAACACCACGAATCCACAATGGCCATCTCCAGAAAAGATTTCGTGGAACGTACTTGATCTGAAGAAGGAGAACTACTACTCTTGCTCTGTGGGGCGGACTCGCACAAATGCTCGCTATCTATTTCAGTCCTCGGATGATGTAGTCGCGTTTCTGAAGGAACTGGCCAGGTGCATCTTCCGCAAGCGTTTCATCTTCGATTGAGAGATATAATGCTCTAGGATTTCTCGAAAGTGTAGCTTCATATGCTTCTGAGTACTATTACATCGTAGATATTTCTAATGCTTCAATTGAAGTATTAGATTGAGTGACAGAGTAGGTATTGAAAGCATCTAAACCACAGTGACAATTAAAGACTTGGGAAGAAGAAGAGAAGAAGAAAAAACCACACTTGAAGTATTATCCTTACTCAAATATGCAGTTCTTTTGCTCCATTTGTCTCCACTTATTTGCATGTGTCATTTCCACTATCAAAATTGGAGGGTGATTTTGCAATCCCCTTTTCACCTTAGGCCATCTCGAGCCAAGGGCAATAGGTTATTTTTACTTCGGAAATGTGCAAAGTCCGTCTCTCACGAGGAAGCTATATTCCTAGTCGGCAAGAGGTTATATCCTAGTCAACAAGCAGGGTTGGCTACTTGTAGCCCTCAAGTTGAGTGGGTCACATTCAGCCCTCTGACACGCTTTTTGTGGGGCCCACGTGGACTTCATATCTCTCTCTCCCCCTCTAAATCTAACAAACTATAAGTAGTATAGTTCTATAATTCACGGAGATGAACACAAATAATCGAGACTACACATTAAAAGATATATTTTGTAGGGACATATATCTTGGAGGGATAAAACATAGCCCACTGCTCTTTAGTCGTGCACTAATCCAGATAGCTTTACGTAATCTTTTTTTTTTTTTTAATCATTAAGTTAAATAAATCAAAAGAGAATCAACGTACAAATCAAGAGGAATGCAAAAGGCGAAAACAAGAGTGCAGAAATCAAAATTTGTTAAGAACTCACGAATACAATTGCCCCTTAGAACCAACTTGTAACAGCAGAGTTCCCAAAGATGTACAATTTTAGTAACGTTCCAGAGGCAACTTTGAGTTTGAGCCACCACCAGATCGTGAGTCGTGACAAAAGCAACAACAGAGGCAGAGTCGAACAGATCTCGCGGCGAAATTGAACGGATTGGCGACGGAATCAAACGACGCTTGCAGCGACGACCGAGCTGATTTCTTTGGGCTTCTCAAATTTGTTTGGGTTTGTAAGAGAGAGGAGTGAAGGAGCGAGGAAAGAGAGGAGAGAGGGAGAGAGTGAGGACATGGCGAGAAAAGATGAGAAAGAGAGGGGGAGGGCAGAGGGAAGATGCGAGCAACATAGCAAAAGCCACTTGTCCTAAAGCCAAAAGCTCCATATTCTCACATTTTTTGTTTGCTGGAAGCAGGCTATGATTTTGAGTTGTGTTCTTGAGAATGAATTTTTCGCCTGACACTCAATAATTGTTTCTGAATTTGAAAAACTAGATTTGAGTTGAATACCAAAAGGTCCCTAATATACTAGTGCAACTTTACACCATTTCTCCCTGGAATTTCATTGCTTTTGGCTCCTGAATTCAAGCAATGCATGAACGAGTGTATACACACACATACACACATTTATATAAGCTGAAAACAAAAGAATTAAACACCACAACCTTCATTGAACAGAATGTAAAAGAAGTTTACAGAAGTATATCTATCGGGAACCGAATCTGTGGAAAGTTTTTGTAAAATGGAACACGAAGGAAAGTAAGATATAACGATGAAAACCCAGAAAGCACACTTAGTAGAATTATACCCAACACCCTCTAGGCATACAAGAAATAATGGCAAGGCTAAAAATGAATAATGAGTGATACTGATTCAACTAAACTGAGGTAATCTAAGCATATATCACCTAATATGGATGGTGGAGGTTTTACCGAGCTCTATAACTGAAATTTGCTTACACCTTCTTGTTTGGTTCAAAGACGTACTTGATCAGCGACTCCTTGATTGGCAGCAACTCAGGGAACTCTTTCTTCAACTTGGATGCATCCATTTCATTGTTGCTTCGAGCTGCAACTATGACCTTGGCTTGCTCTTCGAGTGTGAAGTTAGCCCATGTGAACTTTGGGTCAATGTATTGCTTGTACATCTCCAGTATCTCATTATGGCTTACGACACCAGGGTTTGTGAAGTTCCATATGCCCCTCAAGTTCCGTTTTGCCATCTCAATAGAAATGGGTATTAACTCATCCAAGATGGTCATGCTGTTAGGAATGTTTACCACTTTGTTATAACGAGAGATCTTGGTAATGAAGTTGCGAGGGTTGTTCAGGTCAGATGAGATGGGCATCCGAACTCTGAGAGTGCAGACATTGTCGAATTCTTTCAAGAGCTCCTCAACCTGATTAAAAATAAATGACAAACGTCAGACTTGAGAAAAGGAAGAATAAAGAAAGAGAAAAAAACCAAGAACTCTCAGTGAAATGTACCATGGCCTTGGTTTTTGAGTAGTAAGAACCATGGAAATTGGGTGTGTCCTCTTCCTTGAACCCAATTCCCGAACCTTCTGGATGTTTCGCATCATATTCAAATATACACCCAGTAGCATAGTTCAGCATCAGGAGTCCATGCTCTCTGCAAACATCTGCCAAGGTCAAGGTTCCAGCAACATTGACTCGAATTGTTTCTGCTTTATGAGATTCGCACCAATCAACATTAGGTCTACCAGTCAGACCAGCAGCATTGAACACATGGGTTGGCTTGACATTCTGAATATCTGCCAAGAGTGATGTGCGATCCTCTAGACGCCCTTTTCCATATTCATAAGGAATCCCTTGTTTTTCACATAGCTTCCCAAGTACACCCCCAATCCAACCAGTCCTACCATAGATCAAGAACTTATAGGGAGGTTTACGAGGAGAGCCACTAGCTTTGGAAGGTCGAACCAACATTCGGGGATTACTTGAGACAAAAGATTCAGATTTGCCACTCTCAGACTCTTCCGAAAGTCTCTCAATCCCACCAGGCATCATCAGCATTCGAGGATGAGGTAGCAGAGCCCCAGATACATCACCCCACCAATCAGGATTCTGAGTGTACCATTCTATAGTCTTCTTCAACCCATCTTGCCACTGGGTGCGCTCTGACCACCCCAAAATCTTCAGCTTCTCATCATCTAGGAAATACCTCTGATCATTGAAAGGTCTGTTTTCAACAAACTTGATGTTTGTCTCCGGGTCAATTGAGAAAAGTCTGCATATATCTTTGGCCACATCAATAACTCTCCTTTCCCTCTTTGTTCCAATATTGTACACATGTCCAATCTCTCCTTTGTGAAGAATGAGCTCAAAAGCCTCAGCAACATCCTCACAATATAGATAGCTTCTCACGTTAGAACCATCCCCGTGAATGGGCAGAGGCTTCCCTTGCATGGCCAACAGAATGAACTTCGGAATCAATTTTTCAGGAAATTGATTTGGTCCATAGACATTGTTTCCACGGGTAGTTATAACAGGCAATCCATACGATCTGCCATATGCCATAACAAGCATTTCTGCGCCCGCTTTTGTTGCGGAGTATGGATTTGTTGGGAGAAGTTGAGATGCTTCATGGTTTCCCACAACAGCATCTTCATCAGTCTCACCATAGACCTCATCTGTGCTGACATGGATGAACCTCTTGATTTGTCCAGTAACTTTGCATGCTTCTAGGAGAACATGGGTGCCATAGATGTTGTTCTTGGTGAACTCAAGGCTGTTACCAAAGGAGTTGTCGACATGGGTCTGGGCAGCGAAATGCATTATGGTATCGATTGACTCAGTGATGAGGAGATAGTTGACAAGGTCAGCACTGGCAATGTCCCCCTTAACAAACTTGAAATTGGGTAATGATTTGGAGGGAAGGAGGTTTTTCAGATTTGAACAATAGTCAAGCTTGTCAAGCACAACAATCTTGTAGCCAGGGTAACTGCGGATGAGCCGGTTGGCAACATGAGATGCGATGAAGCCAGCAGCCCCAGTTATGAGGATGTTCTTGGGGGTATATGAACCCATGTTGGGGAAACTTCTAATATCAAACATTAGAAAACTACAATGAGAACCGAAGCTAAAACAATATAACAATACATACCATAATACATAAACTACTGAAAATCAACCATGGAGCTAGAAGAACATGTAAAGCAAACTTTCCATTTATCCCATAAGCCTAGGTAAAACGACATTATCGCAACACTGTAAACAATAGGAAACAGATAATTCGAATGACAGATCCCCTTAGTTTATAACAAAACAGAGCTACCAAAATTACATATAAAGTTTCTAATTTGGTGATTAAAAGCAAAAAGTCGCCAAATCAAGTGCACCATATACAGCCAATTTCTTAGAAATGACTCATCAATATCTTAAAGAGTTTCCAACACCTCATTATATACTAAGGATTAACTTTTCTTTTATGTTTTTTTCCTTCCCTACAAGCAAGTAAACATGCCCGAATCGGTATCAAACAGAAGCAAGACCACAACACATCACAAAAACATTCACTAAATCCTATCACATCTAACACAACCAATACATCAAATTTCAGATCATACATATTCAGAAACAAATGATCACATCAAATCATCCAACCCATTTGGACTAAACACGCAGACATCAGAATCTCTTCCCCATTCATGACAACCCATTTCTCGTTTCATAGATCCCAGATCAAAATTAAGCAATGCCATGTTAGTAAATCAAAGCGTAATAGCAAACCCAACACTCAAATTCTACATATTTATCACAGATCTAACGTTTCAAAAGTACCCAAATCACAAATATCACAACCAAAGCAATGATCCAATACTTTGGCCACATGAAATGTAACCAAAAAAAAAAAAAACTGCAGAAAAGATAGTAATAAGCTTACTTAAAGATTTAGCTTCGATCAAGATCGACCAACCCAGATAGAGAAATTCAGAGACGAAGCCTCAGGAGGCAAGCGAAGAGAGAGAGAGAGATTCAGGCAGAGAAATTAGAGAAAGAAAAATGGCCAAGGATTCATCTATGAAAGAAATGAGGTGCAGAGCCTCTGTATGTATATATATGGCCTCCGTAAATCTTAGAAACAGTCCCCTAGAAGAGACTGAATTACCGAAATGCCCTCCGACGGTTCAGCAAATTACAACGGCACACGTTTTGTGGGCCCGCCTCTTTTGTAGGGGTAGGCTGGGCGCAAATTTTGGTTTAAAGGTCAGAATTGTGATCTTATGACGTCAAGATCATTGGATATTTTGGTCTTACCAGGTGAACTTCTTGACAACACCCAATCAAATTTCGACACGTATTTTATGCTAAGGTTTTATTAACCGTCGAGTAATGTAAGTAAATTGTTACTGACAGTTGTTCACGCGTCAATTGGCTGTTTAAAACTACCATAATTTTTCATAATAAGATTTTTTTTTTTTTTGTTTGTTTGACTTGTTTTATTTTCAAGATGAGGGTGTTTGAAATTTTTTGACATGTTTCGCTGGTTTTTTTTCGTCACATCTTGAAATAATCAGAATTCAAATCTCAAAGCGGGTAAAATACTAACCACAATTGCACACGCGTTAAAACTGTTGTCGAAAACTAAAGTTTTTTTCAATCATAAACGTACTATGACATGATTTTATTGTTATTTTGCCTCTTTCCTTCCAATTTTGATGGAAAAGATATTTGAAATTTTTGGATATGCTAGCACAAAAAGTTTAATGCCTAATTAAGGGTGAACAAATAAGGTTGAGATTCCTTGTGACCATATTAAGGTTGCATTTGGATAGGTTATATTAATTTTTTTTTTTTAATATTTGATATTATGTAGATCTTACAATAGAATAGTATAATAATTTGATTCCAATTCGCAATTAGCGAGAATCGATTTTAAAATCTCTTACTTATAAGTAAAGATTTGATGAAGAGATTACATTATTAGTACTGTTGATTAAATGAATGTGGACTATAACTGATGGTGCCTAATAAAACTGGATTTATATCGAATTTTCTCTTGTAATAGCTGTTCACACAAGAGTATATTCTGGCAGTTAGACAATATGCTAGCTAATTAGTAATGCGTAAGCACTTACCAGGAATTAATCATCATACTATATATTATTCAATCATCTCTAATTTTCTGGGTTGTAAAGTACCGACATAAAAAATCACACATTCTAATAGTCTAAACATGTGCATATGTTGGAAGTTAACGTATAAAAGAAGTAAGTTACGTGTGGAATAAGTGAAATGGTTGCGAATTTAGGTAAGAAGTGGAAAGCTATTGTAAAATGAGATTCTTTTGAGATATCTTAGTTCGAAACTTACAGATTGATAAGTTCGAGTCGTTCATTTTAAAATTTACGACCCCATTAGTACATTTCATTAACCTACTTCACACAAATTAAGGGTCTGAATCTCTCTTTCTATTTCTTGAACTGTTCAATTTTTTAGTCCATCGACTCCGGATTGCGGGACCTAGAGTCAATCAAGGTGGCTTTATTTGCTATTGGATTTGACTTGCATAATCACATTTATTCAATATTGACTACAACACAAACCACCCGATACAATTATAGACTTATTTATTTTAATTATTAAGGAGAATGATAAGGAAGGAACAACGTATTTGGCAATTGTGATGATCATGATAAGGTGGTGGTGAGGTACATAATTTATTTTTCTTTCTCAAAATCTTAATTATATTTTATGAGTAATATTAGGTAGATTAAATTTGTAAACAAAATAATATGTCATCAATAATAAATAAGTACGTTAATTAACACTTAAGCAATAATTTAATCATCAACTTTCATGTTTTTTAGTTTAAAATATTTAGTCTGTATATTTAATCTTTCTAGCATTACCCATATTTTGTACATATCTTAAGTTTTTTATTTTTTTAGATCGTGTTCTTAACAATTATTATGTTTTAATTTTTACAGAATTCAAGCTAATTATTGTATGTGGGTTTTTTATTTCCTGAGATATTCTTTATTAACAGTCTATCAAAAACATGTTACAACTACACTGGGTTTTACATGTTTAAAATGAAAAAATGTTATATAAAACGTTGCTATGAGCATTTTCAAATGAGATGTCAAAATTCTAGGTGGAATGCTATTATGCATATTTGACATCAAAAACCTCTCCAACCGAAATGTTATTTGCTGACTAAATTTGAAGCTTTGTGATTTGGAGTCAAATTTGACATCAATGTCAAATTTATTTTTAATTCATTTTAATGGTGGGTCTCTTATTCTACTAACATTTCAATCAATAAAAAAAAAAATTCAACATTTTTTTAATAATTACAACTATTTAAAACTTCGTTTAAATAATAAAATAACATTTGACAATTCGGTTGAAGAAGTACAAAATTTGACATAAGACTTCAAACTACCACATCAACCATCATTTGTAATTTGACTCTTATAAAGACGCATACCAAACAGAGATATGTGTATATTTTACTTGCAAATCTTTTTCCGATATGTTTAGCTAACTCGAAGGGAATAATGTTAGCTAACCACTATATATGTGGGGTTTGCCCTAGTAGTGCAAGACACATTGTCATCATGCAGAAGTTAAGAAAAATGCTTGTTAAGCACTAGTAATTATTCATTTTACACTCAAGTTCGATTTTTTCTCTGCATAGTTTTAATAAATTTAGGGTAAAATAGTCATTTAATACTATAGTCTAATAATATTTGTCTTCACTTGTAAGTGAAAATGAGAGGTCTTAGGTTCGATTCTCGCAAAGACGAATTTGAACCATATTATTGCTAGCTCATTGTGAGACTAAGCTCATCCCTTACCTCCAGTGTAGATAATATCATTTAATCAAAAAATATATTTAGAATAAAATATCGCGTGTATAAAAAATAGCCATATTTGTCTTGTGAATAATCACCTAATATCAAGCTTTACTAAACCTCAATTTATTTGCAATTGATTCGTGTGTTCAATATTCTTATTATATTTCATAAAGAACAAGGAAAATTAATGAAAAAAGCTTGAAAACTATGAGTTTTAACGATAATGACAAAATAAAGGGTAAAGTGAATAGTATCAAGATTGACTTTTTAGTATAAAAATATAATTTTTTATTAAAGTGAACAGTACCAGGAGCACAAACTCTAATCTTCAAAATACATGTGAAATAATCAGAACACAAATCGCTTTCATCAAGAAAAAATGCAAATCAACAAAGCATACATTATTGTCTTAGGTTGCAACATGCTCAAGTGAAAGGTCGAAAGAGATGTTGAACTGCTTATTAAATTATACTTGCAACATTTAAATATATACGTTAAACATCAACCAAAAGAAGTTTTGCAAAACCATGGCATATCATTCTTTGTCCTTACAATATTATTACTGGTTTCAGCCTAAGTTATGAGCAACTTTAGGGTTCTAGCACATGTTTGTCTTTCTCAAAACTACAGTCTAACATAGCTGGATGGAAGATTTGGAGAGGAGTTGGGGAATTGTTTTTCATTCTTGATCAATATTACCAACGAATAAGAACAGCTTATTATATTTCTCTATTAGTAATATAGGCAGAAATTTGGAGTAAATAGGAAAACATAATAACAAATAAGAAAAGATTGATGGTCTAATGATATTTCTCTATTAATTATAGGCAAAAGTTGTCATTTAGTTCTAGTCTTATAAGAGGCCTTTATTGTAATTCTCGTGAAATGCAACTTCAAACCAAATGAAAATACCCAGTTTTGTGTCCTACATTACATGCTTAAAGTTCTATATAAACAAAAGGGTCAAATTGCAAATTAATAACAAAATTCATAAGAATTCTATCAGTAAATATAATTCCATGTGATAATGACAAACTCATGGAAATTAAAAACAAACAAATAATCTCCACTGACATTAAACCAAACAATTATCAAATATCCCATTTGCAAGAACTTGCATAAATTTAACTCACAGTACTATAATTATTCCAGTAAGTCTTAATAATTGAGGATTTTGAAATCAAAAGAATCTTCTATCAAAGCTGAATCTCAAAAGAGAGGCAATCTTCAGGCATACAAGTATGCACCAACATCAGAGAGTTTATTTTTGTATCTTGATTGGCATTCGGTAGCCACCAACTACGCAAGCATGGTCTCGTTCAAATGGCTCAAGTGTCACCCTTTGTTTAGGCTTCACCTGTTCTGCCGTCATTCTTTCCACTTCAAGTTCATAAACTTTCTCAGCAGGTAGAGTGGAGTCTATGCAATTTGCCTGGAAAAATGCAGGAACAAATATCAACCCAATCCTTTTACACTGACTAATAAGAAACAAATACTTCAGATTTTCTTCCTGAACTAGTTCCCCAAAGCCGATTTGCTCCCTAAACTTCTAATTGGACCAATTTCCTCATTAAACTACTATAAATGCCTAATTTCCCCCAACTGTCATGTTCAACCACATTCCATCTAATTTTCTGTCCATACGTGCATGCCAATAATTTATTAGCTTACTAAAATGTGACAATTTTTAACAAAAAGTTATACGACATTTAGTTAAAGTGGCCATTTATAAAAGTTTTGCTCTAAAGTTTAGTCACTGGAAAATTATAGGTAATGGGGTACATGTTCAAGGGTGAAAACTGGCAGAATAGCCTAAAAAGATAAGTTGAAACAGTATATTAGCAGTTTTGGAGATCAACAATAAGGGCAACACGAACCTTGATTGACATCAAACAACAACCTCCTACTTTGAGGAAATATTTTGCATTCAAACCTAAAATCCTTGCCTGCAAAGAAAGGATTAAATAGCAAAGCGGACTTTCGGTGGGGGAAAAAAAAAAACAGACTATTTTTAATACAATAAAAATAAAGTAATTCATCCTCCCACCATCTCTGTAAGCTTTAACAGAACAGAGGAATCGTATTAAGCAATATATAAATTTAAGTTGACATTCCAGTGTTCTACCTCTAACCTTGGAAGCATGCATGCACTGTAAGTTATAAAGTGAATTAAGCCAAGATCTTCTAAGTTCATGGTTTTCACATATGCATTAGATGGAGAAATACAATAAACAATCAATCGTACCTTGATCCATAATGACAAATGCTATAAGATCCCAATCGGTTTCAGTCGGAGGTGGAGAAAGTAGTTGTTCTCTCTTGCCTTGCATATATAGGTGCATATATCCATTTAATATGCACTTATGCCAGAAAACGCGATTAGAGCATTTGTCATTGATAATTTTTCAAAGTGCATGTCTAATGCTCTTTCATTATACCCGTTAAGTAATTTTTCTAGTAATTTACCGAAATTGTGATGTAATGTTGGTCAATGATGAGTGCATATCTTATTTCATCCTGGATGTTACATTTTCTGATAATATGTTGGATTTAAATGAAAGGAATTATATGACTTTGTGTTGTTATGGTCAGGCTAATGAATTGGACCAAAACCATGTTATAAATCCCTTGTTTTAATTTAATCAGTTGGTCTAATTTAGTTTGAGTGCCTTATGACATTGGTTGAAGTGTATGGTTCACATTTTGCGGTTTCCAATATACATGAGGATTGATATTCATTTGGTGAGTAAGCTTGTCAGTTATGGAAAGAAAATGAAACAGACATGGGAAGGCAAAGAACAAGGAACGGCTAAGTTATAATTGGCCTAATAATGGGGTTGATAAATGACCATTATTCATGAGGGATATGGGGGTTGGCTGCGTAGCAGCTCAATATAACCATTCCCATTTTTATGTTTTTGGTGGAGTTTTGCTCTTTCATAATTTTAGACTTTTTTCTGATTCTATTTTAGTTTATGGAGAACTAATCTCTCTATCTAAGGCTAGGGGAGAAACCTTTATTATGATTATGTATTTTTATTATTTTGATTCTATTTCGGACTTTCAATGTCAAATTTTATGTTGTGGATGTCAATGAAATTTCTTATTTATTCTATTTTTGGATTGATGAACGTTGGTTATGATTCATAGGTTTAATCATGTTTTTCCTATAGTTTTGTTTCACATTCATACTTTTAATGGATTGAATAAATTAGTAGATTGGTACGATTTCAACAGAGTAAATTTTTAATATTTTGTTGCCGTAGGTACAAATTATATTTGGATTATTTCTAAGCTTGGTTGTTTATTGTATTTTTGCATCTAATGCGTATGTTAAAATCATGAAGTTCAAAGATCTTGGCTTAATTCAATTTATAATTTGCATGCACATGCAAGGCTAGAAATAAATACACACACACACACATACCAAGTAGATGAAAATCATGAAGTTTGAAGATTTTGGCTTAATTCAATTTATAACTTACTTGCATATGCAAGGCTAGAAATATACAGATTTTAAATTTTATGAAATTGTTGAAAATCAATGTATAAATGAGGTAAAAATAATTCATAACCAACTAAGATTAGCATTAGCAACTCAATGTTAGAATCACCCTTAATTGATTGCTTAATGGTGTCCCTGAGTACACCACATGCTTAATTGATATATATGAAACCAACTCAAAACCGAGAATTAATCGACAGGTTAGTAATTATGTCACATGACTAACTGTCAGTACAATAAAAATGGGCAACGTCTACGAGTGGTTATTGCTGAAAGTGTGACAAAAAGTCTTAAAAATGTGACGAAAAATAAAAAAGTTGTCACACTCAAAAAAAGAAAAAGAAAAGAAATTGATATGTTAAACTTAATTATTCACCAAAAAACTTAATTATTCACCAAAAAAACTTAATTTGTCCTTATTTGAGTTTCAGTATGAAAAAAAAAAAAAACAAACACACACATGATCAACTCAAATTAGCATCAGATACTCAGTATATATATATATTGGATCTCCGCTTCATTATTTATTGAATAAACGGGAATTCCTGAGTACATCACATGCTAGATACAAAAATAATTCAAGCTTTGAAAATCAGCAGTTTCGTGCCACAATCCATAGGTAAACTTTGAAAAATGTTTCAAATTATTTGAAAGAGCATTAAAAAAGACTACCTACTGCAGCTCAAATATTAGTTGACAAAAACAAATTATTTACGTAAAATTTGATCTTGTAAAGGACTGTTTCATATCAATTTTTTGTTTTCATTTTTCTATAAACTAAAACTAAAAAATAATAAAAAAAGCATATTTCAATTGAAAATTGCTACCAGAAAGTTTTTAGTTTGAAAACAAAGGACAAAAAAAATTGAAAATGAAATGATTTTCAAATAGACCCTAAATAATTTAGAATGTTGGTTTAGCAAATGCAACATATGGCTAATGAAAAACCCTTGTGCGAACTATGCCGTATCTGCAAGATTGTTACCATGAGAAAGCACTTAGTATAAAAATTAAAACAGTAATTCTGTGCTACAAATAAAACAATGAATTGGTGATTCAGTGGATAGAAAAACCTGATCAGGCTGAGCAACATCTGTAAATATGACATCTACCACGCTGACAAGCATCCGATATCTTGCTGGGTGTCTTGCGTCTTCGATGATTGGTATGACATTAGTTCTCTTCTTTGCCATGTTTACCAAGTCCCTACCACTCCTAGGGGAAAATTCGACCGCATACACCACTCCAGTCTATGAAGATGAACGAACGAGAGATATTGGAACAAACAAATGCATGATGTTTTATTTGAAGTGTTAATAGTAAACAGCTTGTTAATTCATGATAAACAATTAGAGCGTTTGGTCGGAAAAGGCTTACAGGTCCAACGATGTCGGATACATGAGAAACAGAGGTTCCTGAAGCAGCTCCTAGGTAGAGAACTCGAGCTCCAGGTTTCTTGAGATCAAGTAATTGTACACAATTAATCAATTATACGTATAAATTAAATTTATAGAAATAACAAAGATAACTATGATATTTGAGGGTGTGATTCATTATGTTGCAATTAAGTATCATAAAATTTGCTAGACATGTGTATAAGATATTGTACAAGATAGAGGAACTCACAATCCCAATGATGTCAATGCCCGCCAAGATTGCAGCTCCCAGCTTTGAACGAAAGGGGTTCCAAACCCTATATTCCACCTTGGTTCCATCTTCATTCTGAATAATATTACAAAAAGAAATAGTAATTACAATCAATTCTCTATACAAAAAAATAATTGTATACTATCTTCAGACAGTGTTGTTTTAAATAATGCAACATATATAAACTAAAAGGGGTTAATTAGGCCATCAAACTTAATTAATTAAAATGTTTTGTATTCATGTTTTCAAATAAATAAAAAGAAGAAACTTGCATGTAAAGGCATACTGCAGAGTTTCACAAATTAAGGGGAGTTTCATACAATATTGAACAGGTGATCGAGAAGAAAGTTGCATGTAAAGGTATACTCAAAAGCCACAGGCGTGCAAAAGGTGGAGTGGTAAATGAATTTCTGAGCCCTTCAAAAAATTTCATCATCCTCTATATTACATGAGTATAAATTTTCTAACAAAAAAGTATTTGCTTAAAAAGAAAAATCATCATGTGATTTTATCTATGTTACAATTGATTATAAGTGGAATCTATATTTAATATTAATTTCCACTTTTCTCTAGCAATAAAAGACTTGTATATTACTTTCTTCCATTTTTTTGTAGCAATAAAAAACTACCTTGAGTATTACTTTCTTCCACAAACATAACGTATTTCCATATCTCTCTTTCATTCGTGCTCCTTTTTTTATGGATGAACCCTCATTATAATTTCATGACAATTGGAGATTATTCAATTAATAAAAATGAGATGTTGATTTCAATTAAGTTTGAATATTGATTTTTGAATTCTGATGAATATATTGTTCAAAAAATTATTATTTTTTAAATAAGGAGGGCTTTTTTGTTGGATTCGCAGCGGGACGACCCTGCATATATATGTACTCAACTGTTCACAGAGCAGAATAACATAGCAACTATATTGTATTGTCCATATAGTGAACAGGTATGGAGCATTGACCACATAGTATTGTTTATAGGTATACATGGTACCATACAGGGAATAGAAGAGCACGTAATACATCGATCCTAGTTCGTCTACAACGGAGTTGGGATGTGTAAGAAGGGGCACATATACATATAATATTAAGAAGAATATTGAATAGATATGTATATAGTACAAACCTTTTTTTCGGGTACATTGCATAAACTTCTTATGAAATTAGAAGATCTGAATCATCAATTCTGTCTATGTATTAAAAATAAAAAATAAAACAATCAACTAACCTGAACGGAGATGCACTTCTCATTATAAACAGATTCACCAGGGACCATGTTTTTAGTGACGAGAGCATCGCCTTTAATAGACGTATGTTTGAAAACCCCTTCATGCACACCATATGGGGTGATAATTCCTTTGTTTCCACCTCCACCAGGTGCTGGCCGTCTTCTGCGGTCACCAGGATGTGGTCTTCTGAAGTCACCAGGGGGTGGTCTTCTGAAGTCACCAGGTGGTCTTCTGCGGACACCAGGAGGGGGTACTCTGCGGACACCAGGAGGGGGTACTCTGCGGACACCAGGAGGCGGTCCTCTGCGGACACCAGGAGGCGGTCCTCTGCGGACACCAGAAGGTGCAGCAAGGCCTCTGTGGGCAACACGAACAGCACCACTACGACCTATATTATACTCAATCCAAAATCCAAGAAGCAAAGGATAATCATTAATCTAGAGTGGATAGTTTTATTCATACAAAGACATTCATTCGGTGCTAAGGAAGAAAAGCCGACGACATGTTGAATACGAAATATTACATATCTTGCTACATAGCATTATAGCATTATAGCAACAATTAAACATGCACAAGCACGCCCGCACACATATATTTAAAAAAATTCAAACAAATTAGGGTTTAGTCAGTTTTGGAGGTCTTAAGTCCGAATCATTATTGACAAAAATAAAATGGTACAGATTTCATAATATACACAAATAATACTATAACAGCAAAAGACACAGGTGTCGTTGCGATTAAATTCATGCAATAGACAACCTGAAACATGAATTTATATGCAAGTATATGTAGACCGAGGCGATGAAAATATAAGTGATAATATCATAATTACCTCTTGGAGTTGTCATTGTTAAGGCAAACTAGGGTTAGTAAGAAAGCAAGGAGAATGCGATCAAATTGAGAGAGGAGGAGGAAGTCGACACAGAGCGCTTTTGGGTTTAGGGTTTCTCGGAAAGGGAGTGTATATATAGTTTCCTGCTAGTGGGAGTCCTGCTACGGCCCAAGGGAATTTCGTGGGTAGAGGGAATTTCGTGTTACGGACAACCTAGGGTTTAAATTTAAGCCCATAAAGAAAAAAATAAAAAATGCCCGAAGAGGCGACGGTTCATGGCAACGTTTTCTAAAGAGATTGAATGGGTGCCTCTCGCACAAAGAGGCAACAGTACATACAAATTTTCTTCTTCTAGACGTCACCACACCGGCTAGGTGGTGCATTAGCCTTCCCATAATAAGACCAAGGTCAGAAGTATAACCCTTCGATTAGAACGTCTTTGTAGACATGACGTCATTACTTTTTTTTATTAGAAAATCATTTTTGAATTAAACTACTATATGCATTATCATCTCTTTAAGATATAAAACTATTTTTATTACCTTCATTTTCTAAAGCAATATTCCTTTTTTTAAGATGCTTGTTTGAAACTAATAATCCTTGTCGATTGGCAATACGTTACCAGTCTCATTCATCTTCCAAACACAATAAAACCAACAATCGCCATAAATCAAATCAACACACATCACTCTCTTCCAAATCAGATGGATTATCGCAATTAAAAATCAAAAGCATGCAGTACTATTTTCATTATATACAATGATATGATATTTAAGCCGGTATTTATGTATAGCTTAGCCTTGCGACGTGCTGAAGTCAAAGGCTGAAAGTGATCGTGTTGAAGAGAATTGCATCCCTCCATGGCATCTTTACAACTGCATGGATGCATGCATGCATCATGGTGTACCTAAAATTAACTCAAAGACTATATAAATATATATATGGGTAATACTAAAGAGATTAAATTTTCAAACGAAATTTGCAAACTAAATAATATGTCACTAATATGAAATAAGTATGTTAAGCAACACTTAAGTAATAATTCAATTATTACTAAGTGAATTATACGATACTCTAAAACCAATGTTAATGGTTGGGGCTAAAACATAAATCTTTAACTCAAAAAATAAAAAAACTAGGAACAGTTTTTCTGCTTAGTGGTTCTAGTTACAATTTTAATCCGAGATTATTAAAAAAATTAATTGAGGCTAACCTTTTTTTGGTTTTTTTTTTTTTAAATTATGTAGATATCATGATTTATTTTCATGAACATTTTAACCCAAAAATATTTAGATTCCAATAAAAGTTGAAAATTCAATGACTCGATCCCATGAAACATGTATTTATAAAGATTCTGATGAATTTCGATTTAAATAATTTTTTTAATTGTTTTAGCCGTTGAATTTATTTTGGACCTTAGATTTATTTTTATTTATTTTTACCGCTATATTTGAATATATTTGATGTCACATCCCGGCCCGGGGGGGGGACCACTTCCCGGGCCCGCTCCACCACCGTAGCACGATATTGTCCGCTTTGGGCCCCGACCACGCCCTCACGGTTTTGTTTTTGGGAACTCACACGAGAACTTCCTGATGGGTCACCCATCCTGGGAGTGCTCTCGCGCACTACTCGCTTAACTTCGGAGTTCCCATGGAACCCGAAGCCAGTGAGCTCCCTAAAGGCCTCGTGCTAGGTAGGAATGAGAATATACATATAAGGATCACTCCCCTAGGCGATGTGAGATGTTACAATCCACCCCCCTTAGGGGCCCGACGTCCTCGTCGGCACACACGCGACCAGGGTTAGGTTCTGATACCAATTTGTCACATCCCGGCCCGGGGGGGGACCACTTCCCGGGCCCGCTCCACCACCGTAGCACGATATTGTCCGCTTTGGGCCCCGACCACGCCCTCACGGTTTTGTTTTTGGGAACTCACACGAGAACTTCCCGATGGGTCACCCATCCTGGGAGTGCTCTCGCGCGCTACTCGCTTAACTTCGGAGTTCCCATGGAACCCGAAGCCAGTGAGCTCCCAAAAGGCCTCGTGCTAGGTAGGAATGAGAATATACATATAAGGATCACTCCCCTGGGCGATGTGGGATGTTACATTTGATCTCAACCGTTGGATTTAATGTATTAAAAAATTTAAAATTAAATAGGTTTGAATTTGGACCACTAGATCAATCAACGGCCCAATAATTAAAATCATCATTGAAAAAGAGCCGTTGGGCTCGTTTTGTGTGGCCAACATGCTTGTTAGGAGTGGGCCCCATTTCTTGTCAACCCTTGAGTGTCTCATGCTTAGGGCGCATCGCCTTGTTGTGACCTCCACTTTTCGGGCACGTCCACGCTCATAAGGTAGGCCAACCTTTTTAACCCAGGTTGGAATTGTGTGTTAAATTTGCCCAAAGTTTAGGTTTTAATCAAAACTTATTTTAGGCTCAACCATTAGAGAATGATTGGGTTAGTTTAAAAACTAAATTTTAGATTTTAACTCAAAGGTTAAAGATGGTATAATTAAAAAACATATTAGGCAAATAGCACTTTATTATGGGGAGGAAAGCAGCTACGTTTATATTGTATACACTATTGTGCGGATTTGATCTTCATTAACTTTTTTCTTAACAATTAACAATTCATTGATGATTTAGCTACTTTGGCACATAATTAGAGTTAATCTCTACTAATTAATAAAACATTCATTGTCAACCAAAACCCTATGAAATTACTAGTGTAACCCTCTAATTAAAACAAAACATGAATAAGAAATATGGGGTAGAAATGTAATTTCACACAACCAAATTTTGCTGTTTTTTTTTTTTTAAAAAAACCTCACCTACATGTAATCCTAACATATCTCTATTTTTTTTAAATAAAAAAAAATCCCACTCCTACATTCTCTATCACTCTATTCCCCTCTCCTTCTATTTCAAAAAAAAAATATATATATTTCTCACACACTTTGTGTGTGCCCATATGCCAGTATTGGGATTTAGATCCTCTCCTGAGCTAATGGAGAGGATCCTCCTGACCAATCATCGTGGACCGTTGGATTTTTATCCAACGGCTACAAACAGGGGGTCCCTTTAAAGTTATAATGATTGTAGCTGTTAGATAAAAATCCAACGGCCCACGATGATTGGTCAGGAGGAGGATCCTCTCCATTAGCTCAGGAGAGGATCCAAATCCCTAGTATTGTATTAAGTTTAGTAATTTTTCTTTTTTAATTGTTTTTTCTTTATAAGCTTTTTTATTAAGCTTTATTGTTGAAAAAAAAAAAAAAACATAATCTATATACTATATGCCATGTTGAAGTACTTGTTGGTTTTGTTTGGCTGCAAATAATAAGCTTTTGAAAAAGCACCAAACTAGATTTCCCTAATTGTGACTTTCTTGTTAAGTCCATCACCTCCTGTAGTTTTTTGAAAATATATGATGCATGCAAAGCAACAATAAATAAAGTACTAGAACAAATAGTGAGATATTTGTCGATTTTTCTCTTGAACTTACAAGGAGCTGTCAATTTTCCACTTAGCTTTAATTTTAGTCATTACTCCTTGACTTTTTAATTTTTTTATACTTGGGCAATTTCTTCTATGAACTTTAATTTTAACTGATTATCCTATAAACTTTTTTTTGAAGGTCCCCATAAACTATTATAATTGACCTATTTTTCCTCTTAACTTTAATTTTGTAGTTGCAAAATGGTAATTTTATTCCTAATGCAGATAACGTATTGATTTTTTTTTTCTTATTCTCTTCCGCTAGTTCATTCTACATTTTTCATTTGAATTACTCATGAATGTTAATAAAGATAGTTGAAAATCCAATGATCTTACCGTCTTAGGTAAAACTTTGACAATCATATTTATAACTTTGATAATTAAAACCCTAAAATTCTTTTAGATTGAACACCTTTTTAAATAACCCATAATTCAGTCTCTCAATTCCCCCAACATATATCTTTCGAATCCAGATTCAATCTAAATATTAACCACGATCTGATCCATGTTCATGATATGTCATGATGGAAGTGTCAAATAGGGGGAGTATGTAGGATCTTTTGGCACCAGAGACATCTTTTGGGTTGCATGCCTAATGCGATTTTTCCTTCGGTGCGACCGGGTTCGCGTACAGAACTTCTTCTTACCGTCTGATTTGATCAAGCGCCTGAAATTGATTGATTTGGTGACCGGTTGTGTAGAGTGTTAAATTACCTAAATAATGAAATTGCTAAGTAGGCAGTTTTGATGCAAAGTAGGAAGTTCTGGGTAGATCAAATTTTTATTTTTTATTTAAAAAAATGATTGGAAGATCAAAATTTTAGATTAAATTTGTAAATTATTTGATGTCTCATTAATAAAAAATAATACGTTAATTAAAACTTAAGTAATAATTTGATTATCAACAATCGTATCATTTAATTTAAAATTTGATCTAAGTTGTTGATTTGGGTAACATTATCCATAAAAAATAAAAAAATTATGGAACCCAGATGCGCCGAAAACGGCATATAATGTGCATATTCTTTTGTTGCTGATACGAATCACAAATATAATAGTGCCTTAAACATTGAGTCATGACACATGCGATAGGGGCGGGCGGGGCCCACTCGTGCCAGCTCTTGTTCGAATTAACACCTTCCATCCATAGTTCTCAACGTGGATAAAAGATACCACAAAGTATGACATGAGATAGATTTTTTTATGTGTTTGAAACACAAGTAGATCACGTGTTTTCCTATATTCGGTTGGAAAAATTAAATATAGTACTGATATATTGAACTCATAGAAATTACACTTTTATAGTGGACCGAAACATTTGATTGTGATGCCAATATTTGAATTTACACTAGTGTAATAATAATGTTAGATGTATCAAACTCAAGTTGTCTGATTTCTGTATGCATGCATCACATTTATTCAAATTAACATGGAACGCATAATGTACACAATAAGGCTACCATATAATATGACGATTAATGGTTGAATTTAGTTTGTGACATGGTGGCGATGGGTGCTTTGAAGTGAGGGAGAAAGAGAAGTTGAGAGAAGAGAGGAAGGGGAAGAGATAGTTGCGGAAGGGAAGAGAAAGGCTTGCAACTAAGTCGACCGTTGGATTTGTACCAACGAATGAGATCAATTCGTCAGGAGGATCACCACGAGATTGATTCAGAAAGGCTTAAGTCCC